TCCGTAAGACAATACTCCTCTGGACAGGGGGTATGATTAAACAAAGCCATTAATTGAGACAGTCTCTTTGGCAGCTCCCCGGCTGCATTCATCTCTGGGCCTCCTTGGGCCAGTGGAATAGGCCCTGCCCACTCCGCACCCGGCCCACCCCCCTCCCCACTTCATCTGTGCGCTTTCAGAGCCCCGCCAGTTGGGGCTGCAGACCTCGGCATCTCATCAACGGCCTCTCTGCCGACAGATTCCTGCTAAAGTGCCTTGATTGCATAATGTCTATTTGCATAATGTAAATTGCAATCTCCTAGCTCGGGAGGCAGGAATCACAGAACAGCCATTATTTTTTACCACTCCACAAAAATTCTACATTTAGAAAGCAGATTTGCAGCTCAGAAAGCCGTATAAATCTGAATCTGCCAGAAATACCATTAAATCACACCAATTAAACCGGACCAACGAAGAGCCCCTGTCACTGTTTTCTGCACATTCAAGGACTCCCAGCCCAGGTGGAGGCCACAAGAAACTGGAGGCTGTGGCAGCAGGGCTGGGAGCAGGAGCTGCAAGAGGCAGGAAATTCTATCTTAAAAACTTTAACACATGCCCCAAGCGTAGGCGCCCATCAAGACCTGGTGGAAAAAGAAGAGATGGGGGTGGAACTAGCCTGAATAGTTCTAAGCTCATTGCCTGATTTCTGGTAGGCACCCTATCTGTCTACAGACTGTTAATTTATGGAGCAGAGAGCACAGGACGAAAGAAGCCTGTGCCCTTAGCAGAGGTAGCAGGAGACGTAAAATATTTCCCATGGGGGTGAAATATCTGTGCCGTAGCAGCTTTTCAGTGACCTTTCCTCTCTTCTCCTGAGTCCCCTCTGGCCAAGTAAGAGGAATCCTAGGACAAATCCTGCTCAGACTGGGCTGCGCTGGAATCTGAGCTCTTGTTTAGAGCTTTTTCCTAGGGTCACCGGGAAAGAGGTGAGTCACCAGGTCCCTGGCTAGGGGCATTCCTTCTGACAACTAACTCCTCCTGATCCGGGCTTCCCTGCAGCCAGCCGTATACCTGGTTACTCTTCTGCCCCTTATTGCTCATTCAATATTCATTTGTCAAAGAGCAAGATGCTAATGTATATTATTAAAATATCAATAGTTTATGAGTGAACTTTTATGGAGGGTACAATTAAGGAAGGATTCTTGACCATCTCTCTCAGGAGCAATGGAGAGGACCCAACTCTGCCTTTTATTTATTTACTGGTCAGATGAATGACTGACCCATTCTCGAGTAGCTATTGTGTACCAGACATGGCTCTAGTGCTTTCTCACGCTGCGTAGTGTCTAGCATGCAGTAAGTGTTCAATAAATGTTGGTTACTAAAATTAAGATTCAACTGACTTGTGAACAACTCTAAAACCCTCCCTCCAAACCCCAACACCTTTTTATCAAAATCAGGCCCACTGACCCTTCTCTTCCCAGCTCCCTCCCTTTCAGCATTAGCCCTTCTCAGATCTTGGACCTTTGGGAAATGAAATGGTTCTGATTCTACTCTTTGGTTGCTGGAGTTTTGTTTCTATCCCTTTAAATCACAATAAGGCATCCAGGCACCCAGATGCTCTCCCCAAATTTAGTTGCATCCAGGTCAAGAAAATGGCAAGAGAAAGGCAACGTGGTTCCATCATGACACAGCCTCTTGCAGGTTACAGTGTGTGGCAGAGAAGAAGGAAGGAGAGGTGAGGACATGGAGGGTCAGGGAGGAAGGCTTCTCTGTCCCCAGCACAGCCCAATACCTATTAAGTCCTGATCTTTGGCTGACCCTCCCCCAGCCTGGAAGGCCATGGAGCTAGGGATATGGGGAGCCCTGCATGGGAAAGAAAGCTCACAGCTTGGGGAGGCCTTGGTCAGAGGTCTAAGTTCTCCTCCAGACCTGGCACTTGAAGCTGTGGGCTGCAAACTGGACCTGCTCCTGCTGAGCTGGCCTAGAAGGCAGAGGTTACTACAACGCATACGACTTCCTAACACCACCGTGTCCTCCGGAGGCCGAGCCTGGCCTCTGAGGGTCCCTTTAAACCCAGACATTCTGTGTGTTAAGGGACAGTTTGGTTATTGAAGGCGAGGGTTTCCTTAGCTTGTCTGTGGAAATAGATGAGGCTGCACTGTGCCAGAGTCGCGGGAGACTGTACTCTCCAAAGATGGTCACCACGAGGGATATATCCCGCCCCTTATGCTCTTCTTCTAATGTGCTGCTGGGACATGGCAGAGACATGGCAATGGAGATGTCTGTGTTCAGTTCTTTAAACCCAGGTGGGCCTTCGTAACTGCCCCAATCAAGAAAATGGGGTGGAAGTGACGCAGCTTGACTCAGGGGATACAGCAGCCATGTGGCTCTAGTTTTGTTTCCTGATGCACCCCCTTGACATCCAGCCACCAAACTGTGCAGAAGCCCAAGCCACATGGATGGGTCGGGCTGACAGCCCCAGTGAACCTCTGGGCCAACAGCCAGCATCCACCCCCGAATCCTGAGTGAACGAGCCTTCAGATGACTCCACCAGCTGGGACAGAGACAAGCTGTCCTCACTGTGCCCGGGTTGAAGTCCTGACTCACAGAGTATCTGAGCATGACAAATGCTGTTAAGACATGAAGTTTTGAGATGGTTTGTTACACAGCTGTACTAATTGGAACACCACTGGAATTAAATTAGATGTTTGCTGATTCCCTTTCAAACCCAGCCTTCACGGCTTTTACTCTGAGACTTCTGACTTGGATTATTCCCTCCTCGATGGGCCCCGGCCCCCAGAGCCTGCCTACTCGCCTCCTCTTCTTTTCCCGCCTCCAAAAGGCAGCTCCCCATGCCTGAGGCAGCCTCGGGGATCTGCTCCCTGAAAGATCGCTTGAACCTTCGCCCCAGCTCTTCCTCACTCCGCCGTGCCAGTTCGAGGGTGTCCCTGTGAGGCAGCTACCTTGCGTGTGCCCGGCCGCCCTCAGAGACAGGGCAGGAATGTTTTCCCCGCATGCCCAGCTCTCATTAAGGTTCATGCTCGGCTATCAAGAAAATGGGGTGGAAGTGACGCAGCTTGACTCAGGGGATACAGCAGCCATGTGGCTCTAGTTTTGTTTCCTGATGCACCCCCTTGACATCCAGCCACCAAACTGTGCAGAAGCCCAAGCCACATGGATGGGTCGGGCTGACAGCCCCAGTGAACCTCTGGGCCAACAGCCAGCATCCACCCCCGAATCCTGAGTGAACGAGCCTTCAGATGACTCCACCAGCTGGGACAGAGACAAGCTGTCCTCACTGTGCCCGGGTTGAAGTCCTGACTCACAGAGTATCTGAGCATGACAAATGCTGTTAAGACATGAAGTTTTGAGATGGTTTGTTACACAGCTGTACTAATTGGAACACCACTGGAATTAAATTAGATGTTTGCTGATTCCCTTTCAAACCCAGCCTTCACGGCTTTTACTCTGAGACTTCTGACTTGGATTATTCCCTCCTCGATGGGCCCCGGCCCCCAGAGCCTGCCTACTCGCCTCCTCTTCTTTTCCCGCCTCCAAAAGGCAGCTCCCCATGCCTGAGGCAGCCTCGGGGATCTGCTCCCTGAAAGATCGCTTGAACCTTCGCCCCAGCTCTTCCTCACTCCGCCGTGCCAGTTCGAGGGTGTCCCTGTGAGGCAGCTACCTTGCGTGTGCCCGGCCGCCCTCAGAGACAGGGCAGGAATGTTTTCCCCGCATGCCCAGCTCTCATTAAGGTTCATGCTCGGCTTGCTTCTCTCATACATGACTTGACTTATGAGGTCCCTCTAACCTCCAGCGCGAGGAGACAGTGATTCTCACAAAGGTCTTTGTACGCTGGCTTCCCACCCCGCATCCCCATCTCCTAGGAAGGCTTTCCTGGAACAGGATGGAGGGAGGCACCCTTCCCCGCCCCTGGGACTGGGGATCCGACCACTCCAGAGCCAGGCTGGAGGGGAAGTGCCCTGGGGGCTGCGGCCCGTCAATCATAGAGGCGACGAGCACTGAATCGCAGGCCATTAGGCGGGAGGCCCGGCGCCCTGCTCACTCACCAGGCAGCCATCGGCAGGATGTTAGATGATCGCATGGCGGCCATTCTTATGATTTATTCAAATACTCATTACAGTCAATCTATTTTTACACAGAGGTGAAGATGTGCGCTGATAACGGTTAATCATTTATAATTCCATGGACTGGTTGGAAGCCAATGTACTATCAAAGTCGCAGGAGCAGCTCAGCCTCCAGTGGCCCCAGAAGCAGCGGAGAAGCCATGTAGCCCGGGGCAACCCAGCCTGCCAGCTAGCATTGGCTGAGCAGCGACCAGCTGAGGGTACAGAGGGGAGACAAGATCACAGGAACCCCGAACACCCTCCAGGAGCTCACAGCCTCGCTGGAGAGCTCACGGTAAGGTGCGGGCCTGAGGGGTGGTTGGCGTGGGAATGTGGCAGAATTTCAGGAGAGGGAGAACTTGCTTCTAGTCGGAGTTACCCAGGGAGGCTCCCGGACTTATGCTGGGTCCTACAGGTGGGTAGACTTTGGCCACGTGAGAGAACCAAATGCTATTACCATGCTGATAGAAGGGAAGCAACCCTTAGTGTTTCCTTTCTTCTCCCTCACACCTCCGTAACCAAATTCGAAGCAAGTGCAGGCTTTGAACTTGGCCCAGTTCCCTCCTCTCACTGCCTCCCAAGCTTAGCCCACAGACAACAGTGGCTGGGGTCTGGGCTGGACTTGCAAACTCAACAGTTTCCCTCTCCCGCCCTCATGACACACATGACACATCAAACCCACCTTCATGCGCAATCAATAGAGTCTAATTAAATAGGACGTCATATGACACATCACGTTCAGACCTACTCTACTTAGAAGTCCACTGTCTTTCACATTCTGACTAATTCATTGTTGAGTGTTTCTCTTGTGCGACTGTTAAAGGTCAGGTTCAGGGCTGGTCTTAACCCCTAACCTTATTGAGGCAGCATGGAAAACGGGCAATCCAAGTTACTTACAGTTCACAGTCCCTTTTCTGGTGAGCGGCATGGAGGACAGAAAGCGTCAGAGTCCTGCTCCAGACTTCACCTGTCAATAAAAGAAAACACTTTTATAGATGGGAAGGGTCCTGCTGGGAGGAAGATACACAGTGAGATGAGGGTAAACTCAGAAGTGGGTCTGGCTCAGAAGCAAAGCCAGGGCTGGCAGCATTGCCCACAGGACCGAGTGGAAAATTTCCTGATGAAGGGACTCCTGGTGCAAAACGATTATTGTTCAGATGGCTACCCAGGACAGAGAGACAGGATCACTCCCTCCTTACCTGCTTGGTACCTCAATTTCTTGTATCATCCCCTTCCCTATAGGAATCCCAGAGAAAAAGAGGCTCATGGCTGTTAAGAGCTCTGAGCTGACCAAGGCAATCATCATTTACTGGTGCCTCCTGTCTGATGGAAGAGCCCCTGCAGGGAGAAAGCGCTCAGAAACCCTATGTGAAAGCCTGCAGCCTATATGGGGAAGGCTGCAAACAAAACGGATGCTGTTGTTCAGGGCAGGATTATGGAAAGTTCTGATGCAGGACAGAAACTCCAAATAAAAAGTGGAGAGTCCGATTGGCTGGAAGAAAAAGAATGTGCCTGGAGAGGAAGGATGGGGCAACACCGAAAAGATTGAAAACGTGACTGCTTTTAATTCTGTTTTTGGAATAAAGCAATAAAAACAACAAGGAAAACCCAGCGCACATTTATCAGGTGACTGCTCTGTAATCTGCACATGCTAGGTGTGGCAGGAATAAAATCCAGGGGTAGGTCTTGTCCAAGTGCTGCCACACCACTGGGGAAGTAAGAGTAAGCGAAAGAAACATCATCAGATAAGACAAGAGTATCCATACCACAGAGCAGAGCTGCACAGAAGGGACTCTTGATTCTCTCTCCAAACGGAAAGGGAGTCCAGGAGAGATGAGGCACTCAAGGAAGTTTCCAGGGGGAGGAAGAACTTGCACGGGGTCTTGTTGGACTGTGCAGGCAAGATTTGGCTTGTGGAAGGGAGAGAGATGGTGTTCCGAGAGAGGGAGCAATCAGAGCAGGAACGAGAGATGATCATGGAGCACCGAGGGTCAATGCAGAGGCTGGGCTGCCTGAAGAAGACTGGAGGACACATGCTGTGTGAGCCAGGCGGGCCCAGAGCCTCTGGGGCTTTGAGTGTCAGGCAGAGAGGCACAGCCTAGGCTGTGAGCTCAGAGACGCTGACGCTTCTTCAACAAGGAAATGGCATGAAGAAGATAGAGGATTTTATATAGAAGATTCAGGCATGGGGTGTGGTACAATGGGCTCATGGGAAGAAAATGTCTCTCCTGTTCATGATGGCGTCCACCTGGTTGGTCCCACCTCTGGGATTGTCAGCTAACATCTGCACGATCAAGATTCAAGGCCCAGGGAGGTACCTCAGAGACAAGACCAGGTCACCGGACTGCAAGTCCCGAGGACAAGGACCATGTCTTATGCATCTGTATGGCGCCAGAACCTATCAGAGAACCTCATGTACCATGTATCAGGTTCCCAGATGTCTGTTGAAATGCTCAGTGGTGGACCATGTTCATCCCAACTAGAATCCACAACCAGCACCTGGGAACCAGCCCTTAGTTGGCAATGGGCTCCATTCTTTTAAACAATTGACACATCGCTACTAAGCATATATGAATTCAGAACATGAAGTTTCTAGATTGAATTGCATGCAGCAGTGCTTTATCCCTGCCCTCGGGGATTGTCCATTGAGACATCAGCCACTTGGAAGAAGAGATGGCAAACTTGGTATTTGCACGTGCCACTAAGCTGGGAAGGACAGCCGCTCTGGACTTAAGAGCATTTGGTATAAAGCTTTTAACCAGCTGAGAGGTTGGGCCAAAACTCAAGAGTCAACTTTTTCGGCTGCCAGGTTTTATTTCTTGAACAATAACATCATGACAACTGTAATGAAATAAATTTGAAAATAAAGAAAATTACCCACAATCCTTTCACTCTAAACCACCAAGTTATTATATCCTATGCCCATGTGCAAATCCATTTTTATTCTTTATAGACACATGGGAAAGATTCTATAATAATATACATATATATATATATCATATCCTACTCTTACATTCAAAAATCAATTGCAAAAACACAGAATCTGGTAACCTGGTTTAAAAAAAAAGATGTGGGTTATTTGAGTTAAATGTAAACGCAGGATGAGCCCAGGATGGGTGTGGTATTTCTGACAAACCCATTAAATATGATCTTAGGCTGCATTAATAACCGGACGGTGTATACTGAGGGGTGACTAGCCACCTCACTTAGGACTGATCAACCCATATTAGTTTTAGATGCAATTCTGACATCATATTTTAATAACTTTGACAATGATGAGCAGAAGAGACAGGTGAGTGAAGACATCTTGTGGTTAAAGTTTAGCGGTTTAAAAGTTTAAAGTACAAGCTCTGCAGTCAGATGGCTCAAGTTTCCATCCTGGCCCCACCACTTCCCAACAGTGTGACGATACCAAGATTCTTAGCATCTCTGTGCCTCATGTAAAACAGGGCTAATACGGATTCTCTCTCTGAGGTTAATTGTTAGGACTAATGATTTCATATACTGTAAATTGCTGAGAACAGTGCTTCACACAAAAGAAGCACTCGCTGAATGTTAGTGATCATTGTTATTTTCCTTATTAGGAGACTGTGAGGTGGAAAACAAGGGAGAAGCCAGAGACGTACCTTCATTTGTCCCTCTCTAAAATTACCCTTTGACCCAGGTTCTCTTGATTAAGGCAACGATCCTTCTCCCATGTGGTGCTCCTCCGGGTATATGAGGAAATGATGAAACAGGGGCAGCATTACTCTAGCTGGGAAGATTAGGACTGATGGATAGGTGTTAGAGGAAGCCAGCCTTCAGTTCAGTAGAAGAAAGAAGCCACGAGCAATGAGAACCATCCAAACATGAGCTCAGGCTTCTGCAGAAGGCAGTGAGCTCCCCAGCACTGGAAGGAGAATCCTGCTGGAGAGTTCTGTGTCCCCAACCTGGTTCCAGCCAGCCACAAAGCATTACAGGACATCAAGAGACTGATAGGGCTGACAAAGTTATATATTGATAAAGCATTACTAGTGTCTTCTTTTCACTACCATTTCATAAAGTAATTCAATCCACAGAAGTAAGGAGAGCAAAAAGGGTCCTCCTTTGAATTGAATAAACAGAGCATCAGGAAAAGCATTCTTTTTCTGTCCCACACACATATATACACATGTATAGACATGTATGTGCATATGTAACCTCCACATTGTCCTTATTTTTCACTCATGACTATGCACAGTGGAAAGTTTTCCTGGAATGGCACCAGTCCATGGATGCAGCTGGGGAAATATACATGTGCATCATATTCCAGGGCCTTCCAAAGCTAGTGGTTTGTGATCCTGGCAGGCAAATGACATGGTCCTTTCAGACAAACAGCCACGCAATAATGCAACCAGAATTTAAACTCAGGTCTGCCTTATTCACCATGAAAATAAGATGGGACCATAGATGAGACTGACCATCCACATTTATAAATGTGAGGAAGTTGTGAAATGGTAAATGGGGAGGGAGTTGTTGAATGATCATGTTTGCTTGCAAGGGAGGTGGGGACAGGGACAGGAGAAAGCCTCCCATAGGAGACAGCACATGCTCCAGGACTGCTGAGCAAGCACCTATGAAGCATACCTAGGTAAGCTGGAAGTGTTGGAGGGGGATGCGCTCGGGGCTTAGCAAGGCCATGGGTCTAACACAGAAAGCCCCAGACCAGGGCCAAAAGCACACATGGATTCATGCCCTGACTCTGTCATGAATTTACTGTGTGTGTGATCTTGGAAAGGAACTTTAGCCATTCTATGCCTCAGTTTACCCATCCACAAAATGAAAGGGTTAGTCATCAGACACTCCTAAACCAAGATTCCATCTGACATCCATATACTCTGAGGTTGTTCAGACAAACCCCCAGGAAGCACCCTTAGAGACATGCTAAGGTACCTCAGCACATCATCATTAGAGTGGAGATGCAGGAGTCAGTTCTGGGTTCTGGATTCAAGGCTGGGTCCATCCCTTACCTAACCTTAACCTTTGTGGACCTTGATTTTCCCATCTTTAAGAGAGGGATAATAGTAGTGCTTTTAAATGGGATGATGTGTCTACAGGTTTTTGTGCCATGCCTGGAATAATGTCGGGAATAAACAGAGATGTTGTTTTTCAGTGTTATGAAGTAAGGGCTGCAGAAACTGAATGGAAAAAGAGGCAAATTGAGAAGCCTGAGAACTTGGGCATTCACCCCACTGCCTGTGACAAACTTTTCTGCGCTAGCCCCAGCCAGACCTCAGGGCTGAGGACAGCTGAGAAGCCCTCTGCAGGCATATGAGCAAGACTTCCAAAAAGGGAAGCAATGCTGGAATAGACCATTCCAGCTGAAGGACCCCAGCCCATCCAGACAGTGTGTCCCGTGTCTCCCCGCCGCATCTCTGCTCCACCCGTGCCTGCCCCCCTGTCACCTGAAGACAGCTTGCAGGTGATTAAACTTGTCGAATGATTTGTGAGTTACAGCATCTCAGGCCCTGACCACTGGGCTCTGAATTATACAATAACTGGGTAATTGAATACTAAATATAATTATCTGGCACTAAATATTTGGCTCTGAGATGCCTACCCACCTGGCACCAAGAGGAAGCACAGTCCTCTTTGAAGTCTGGTAAGAACCAGTGCTAATTGCACACTCATCGTCAGCCCCCAGGCCACCAGCAGTGCTGGGCATCCAGCTGCAGAGGACAGAGAAATGTCCTCCACCACACCCCCCAGCCCTGCCCCGGCCCAAACTTCTAGCCTTGGACCTGAACCTTTGAGTCTAGGTATGCATATAAAACCCCGTAAGGAATGCTGGCCCTGGCGAGCTAATCCTAATGACTTCCCCATGTGGGAGAAGGAACTAGAGACACTCAAGACCTATCCACACCAGGTGGGGGTGAGAAGAATGTGGGCTCCCAGGGCTGCAGGGCCTCCTGCAGAGGCAAACCCAGGGGACAGGGTCCTGCTTAGAAGGCC